TTGTCTGTTTTGTTTGATGATTATCACAAATATCTTGAATGGTATCTAGTATGTAGTAGGTACTCAATAAAAATATGCTTTATAAATAGATAAAGCTAACATTAAATCTCTGGCTCATGCAGAACAATACGTAGAGAAATAGAAATATGTAGAATGTTTTAAAAACCATTTCTGATAATATAGAAAGAATCCATCCTCTAATTAGCTCTAAATAGTTTTTCTTAACTTGATATATGTGGAAATTATTAAGGAAAAAATCTATATGGCAAAAAATCTTTTAATGCTGTTGACTAGCTAATTCCTACTTAGTCTTCAAATCTCAGCTTGTGTTCAAGCTCCAGTGAGTTCTGGGGGGACATAATTCAACCCACTACACCTGCTGTGCTTTTCTTTTTCTGGACTAGTTTTCAGTTTTGCACAAATGCCATGTCATTGCCCCACTTCTACATTCAGCAGATATTTTTGAAGCCTCTGTTAGGACTAAGTCATAATCTTAACCTGCAGAGATTCACAGTCTGAGCTAACAGACATGCGTGAATAATTGTGTGTTAAATTCCCTAATGAAGTGGGTAAATGCACTTGGAGAATATGGAGGACATTCATTATGATTTAGGGACTCTGGGAAGTAAAGGATTTAGATCCCCGCCCATGGTTAGCATTAGGGAAGGATTTTTTTCCTACACACGGAGTAGCTCTCAGAACAACTACTTAATTGTAAAGATTCATAGGTTGCAGAATGGGTCCTGCATATCACCAGCAATTCTCCCATGCACAGTGCCTGTGTACCTGACAAGAAAGCCATTGATGACCCCCTAAAAGTGGGGGAGGACAGAATGTAGTGTGTGTACTTGGTGGGAGGTGGGGAGGAGACGGGTGAAGAAAGAAAGTAGGTGCTTACTTCCCATTCAAACATTTGGTAATGACAAGAAATAGAACTTAGAGGAGACAGCATGCTTTTTCAAGATTGGAAAGACCTGTACATTTTCAAATCAGAGGGTAAGGAATTACTGGAAGGAGGGATTACAAGATAGCTAAAAGATAGAATTCACAGTAAAAGCCTTTGGGTCATGAAGGCATGTGATATAGATAACAAAGAAGAGGGATTCATTTTAGTCTCAAAAGAAATAAATGTTAAATGTGGGAAGTAGACATTGAAAGGGTTAGATTGATCACAACTTACTCTTTATCTTGATGTTATTTGGGAGCCCTTTTAAATATATATGGATATGAACTCTGCCTCAGTACAAAAAGCATCAGAGGCGGGAACCACCGAAGACAACTGTACAGAAGATTCCTGGAAATTATGTCAGTTTTATAACGTTTTCTAGGATAATTTTAATACTTCCCTTTCAGAAACAAAGTCAAGCAAAGCATGCTTGCTGATTCACTTCTTCAATGAACATTTAAAGGCTACCTACTAAGAGCAAGGCACTGATCTAGAGATTAGAATGGGTTTAATTTTACCCCCAGCTCTAACCCCCATC